ACACTTGTTAGACAAGAATGAGGGGGGACCTGACGAAGTGTATAAGTGGAAGATAGGTATTAATAAAGGGGATATAAACATGTCTTGAGGTGATGCTTAGAAAGGTAGTGGGGGTGGACCAGGTGTTTACAGTGAAACATAAAAGTGACAGTATTTAGAAATAAGGCTAAAGAGGCTTTGTGGCATTTATGGATTTGAAAAGGCGTATGACAGGGTGATATGGGGCAATGTGGCAGATGATGAATTGTATGGGGTATGAGTAAAAACAAGATTACTGAAAGCAGTGAAGAGTTTTAACGAGGAGAGTGAGGCTCAAGTTAGAGTAAGTAGAAAAGAGGGAAAATTTTTCCCAGTAAAAGTAGGCCTTATGACAAGTAGTGTGATGTCACCGTGTTTGTGTTAATATATTTTATAGATGGGTTTGTAAGAGAAGTAAAATGCGAGTCTTGGCAGAGGCGTGGAGTTAAAAGATAAAGAATTCACACACAGTTTGGGAGTTGTCACACAGTCAGCGTCTTTTCTGATGACACTGATGCTCTGGAGATTCTGAAGAGAAGCTGCAGAGCTTGGTGGATGAATTTGGTAAGGTGTGCAAAAGAAGAAAATTAACGGTGAATACAGGAAATGAAGTAAGGTATGAGGATACAAAAAGATGTAGGTGATGAAAGATAGAATATCAGATTGGAGGGAAGAGTATGGAGGATGTGAACGGTATTCAATATATTTGGGAGTGGACTTGTCACGGAATGGGTCTATGAAAGAAGGAGGTGAATCATAGAATGATGAGGGAAAAAGAGTGAGTGAGTGCACTTAGGGAAGTCCCCTGTGGAGACAGAGAACTTTGTCCATGGAGGCAAAGAGGGTAATGGTAGTGAGAGAATAGTTTTACCAACGCTCTTATATGGTTGTGAAAGCATGGTGATGAATGTTGCAGCGACGAGAAGTCTGGAGCAGTGGGAGATGTCATGTCTGAGGGCAATGGTGGTGTGAATATAATGCAGAGATTCGTAGTTTTGGAAGTTAGGATGAGGTTGCGGGATTACAAAACTGTTGTCCAGAGGGCTGAGGAAGGGTATGTTGATGTGGTTCGACATGTAGAGAGAATGAGCGAACAAATACCTTCAAGAGTTATCAGTCTGTAGTTGGAAGGAATGACGGGGTAAGGGGGTCGGGCCTAGAAGGGTTTAGGAGGGAGGGTGTAAAGGAGGTTTTGTGTGCGAGGGCTTTGGACGTCCAGCAGGCATGCGTTAGCGTGTTTGATAGGATTGAATGGATACAAATGTGGTTTTTAATACTTGACGTGCTTGTTGGAGTGTGAGCAATGTAACTTTATGAAGGGATTCAGGAAGACCTGGCCAGGCCGGACTTGAGTCCTGGAGATGAAAGTAAAGGCCTGACACTCTGAGAGGGGTGTTAATGTTTCAGTTTAAAAACTGTAAGTGTAAAGGCACCCTCTGGCAAGACAGTGATGAGTGAATGATGTTAAATTGTTTCTTTTTCGGCACCCTGCATGGTGGGAATCGGCCAGTGTGATAATAATAAATAAAAAAAAGTTAGATTTAGAAAACATAGGAAAGTATTGTGGGGGGGTAGTGGGTATTTGATGAGAGGAAACAGTCTACCAGTTGGGTTATTGAGGCTAGGACTTTGGGTAGTTTCAGATTTAGGCTGGATAAGTACATGAGTGGGAGGGGTTGGATTTGAGTGGGACTTGCACATCGGAGCTTGTTTCTTGGGTGGCATTGAAAATTGGGTTGGTCAAATGTTTGTTAGTGGGATGAATTGTAAAGGACCTGCCTAGTATGGGCCAACAGGCCTGCTGCAGTGTTCCTCCTTTCTTATGTTCTTATGTTCTTATGTAATCAGATTCAAGCGTGCATATTTAAACGTTTCCTATCCCGTCCAGGGCAGCGTCTTGAAACCATTGAAGGGCTCCTGATCAAACTGGAATTGTATAGCAAGATAACGTATTGCAATGAGGATTAGGCAGTATAAGGAAGGAGGAAGCGCGCGAGGAAGTGGTCTGCTTCTGCAGAATTTCTCACTCCTTCTGTTAGTTTAGTTGTGCCGCCTGAGTGACTTGTTTGTTGAGTAGCCGCAGCTCATCCTGTCAGCCGCAGCTCATCCTGTCAGCTGCAGCTCATCCTGTCAGCCGCAGCTCGTCCTGTCAGCCGCAGCTCATCCTGTCAGCCGCAGCTCGTCCTGTCAGCCGCAGCTCATCCTGTCAGCCGCAGCTCATAATGTCAGCCACAGCTCGTCCTGTCAGCCGCAGCTCATCCTGTCAGCCGCAGCTCATCCTGTCAGCCGCAGCTCATCCAGTCAGCCGCAGCTCGTCCTGTCAGCCGCAGCTCGTCCTGTCAGCCGCAGCTCATCCTGTCAGCCGCAGCTCGTCCTGTCAGCCGCAGCTCATCCTGTCAGCCGCAGCTCATCCTGTTGTGATGTAGTTCAGCTGGGCTTGTGAGGTCTCTGGGGAGACCCAATTTAACCAATTTTATGGTCACACCTTGCCTTGGCAAACGTCTGTAGCCACGCCCACGTCTGAGGTCTTTTGTTCTTGACGGCTTCAGACCTAGGCGTCAGGTCGTACACGTGGTTGTGGAGGGTGCTTGGACCACCATAAAAGCCCAAGGAAGAGCATGATCAGGGGATTCGAGCGGAGCTGCTGATGGGGTGCAGAGCTCCTGAGCAGAGACTTCGAGTGGAGCTGCTGCTGGGGTGCAGGGCTCCTGAGCAGATACTTCGAGCGGAGCTGCTGCTGGGGTGCAGGGCTCGGGAGAAGGCTGCTGAAGTCTCTGGAGGAGACTGTTGGAGGCATTGGGCAGAGTACTGGCTTGGCGCAGTACTCGTGCTGTGTAGGTCTTGGGACCTGTGGTTTAGTTCCTGTAGTGAACTACAGTGTACTATATTGTAAGTTACATTCATTTTGGCCAAGCTAATTGTATTCCCTGTCTCACTGCTGATGTGTACCACCCCATTTATCTAAACCACAATAATGTTCTGTTCCCAAATATATTATTGTACAAAGACTTAATAATAAACTGTGTTTGAGTAGAATAGTAATATTCACTGTCCCCGTCATTTATTCTTTTTTCTTATATTTTATTATGTTTATATATGAGTGAAGAGTGGGCGAGGCATATGTTAGTGAGTAGTGTAGAGTTAATGAGAGTGTCGTGGTGGTCACCACTGACCTGTCATTACCTACCTACCTCCGCTAATCATCTCACTCCTACCACCTCACCTGCCTCTCCCCTGCCTACATAATCCCTTACTCCCATATCCCCCACTTATATCCGATTCAATCATTACCCCCCTACATGACATGGTGGCAACAGTGGTGACATGGTGTCTAAGCGGTGGTGGTTCTTATTATTTTTATAGTAGGAACCAGTCCCATGTGCCTTATTTTTGACTGCTCGGTTATACTTATGCTACCATTTGCTACCATTTGATTTTGTGTGTTATTATAATATTATAATCCTAGTGACCTTAACTGACCTTTTCTTGACAGTGGGTCTGAATAATTGCTTGGTTGTATTATTATATTTGGTGGAGTTGGTTGTTGGTTTGAGATAAATGGTGGAGAATATCAGTATTTGGGTGAGACTTTTGGGGGAAGCAATTACTGGCCGAAATTGAATATTTACAGAGGAATGAGAAGTCACCCAGCCCACCTTGGAAGACTCACCCACAACTGTCACCCATTGAAGAGTTGCCTATGATTGCTGTCCACCTGATGTGCCCAGTCACCCAGCTGATGTGCCAAGTCACCCAGCTGATGTGTCCCAGTAGATGTATTGCTGCCTTGGTCTGTCATCCATTGTAGTGGGTGTCTGTCTGCGTCACCCAGCCTGTGACCATCACCCAAGGACCGCCAGTTACCTGCAGTTGCCAGGGATGGGTGACTGCACCTCTGTTAATCACCTGAAGTGACCTCACCACCTCATCTCACCTCGAGCATCTGACCATAGCCTGCTACTGCTGATGTCGGCTGCTGTGATGATGTCTGCTATGCTGTGGCCGTGCTGTGATGCTGTCTGCTATGCTGTGGCCGTGCTGTGATGCTGTCTGCTATGCTGTGGCCGTGCTGTGATGCTGTCTGCTATGCTGTGGCCGTGCTGTGATGCTGTCTGCTATGCTGTGGCCGTGCTGTGATGCTGTCTGCTATGCTGTGGCCGTGCTGTGATGCTGTCTGCTATGCTGTGGCCGTGCTGTGATGCTGTCTGCTATGCTGTGGCCGTGCTGTGATGCTGTCTATGCTGGGACCATGCTGGGATGCTGAGATGTTGGGACCGTGCTGTGATGCAGTAGCCGTGCTGTGATGCTGAGATGCTGCCTAGCTCAAGAGGAGGAGATGGCGGTGATGCTGCACTGGTGTGTGAGGGATTCTGGCTGGTGTGCCAGGACAGGAGAATCTACTATGAAGGAGCTGCCATCCTCGGAGATTTGGAAGGACGTGAGCCGCGGAGATGGACTCCAGCTGCTGGGACCAGCCTGCTATCAAGGACGGTATGGAGGTGAATCCTACCTTGCTGGTCGACCTGTACGACCGGTATGCGGGGATGCCCTGCCAGCCATGAGAGACAATTGAGAGTGTGAGATGTCCCCAGCCTACTTTGACTTGCCAGAAGTGTTAGTGTTATCTGTGTGAAATAAGGTGACCTTGAATACGGTCCAGTGATTATGGCCGCCTTGTTTTATGAGGCCAGTGAATCCTAGTAGTGGCATAGGATAATGGAAGGTCTAAGCTGCGATGCCTGCCCTGTCTCGATTTTCAGATGTTGTAGTGTGCATGTGAAGTGTGCCGAAATGCGACCTTGGTGGTCGTGAAGTGGTCCAGTTGCAGTTACTTGAAAGAATGCAACCCGTTGGAGCAGTTTTCCACGCCATAGAAGCCTAGAGAGGTTTGGCCCAATGGTTAACGTGCGAGGGTGACTAGCATTGGCTAGTGCATTTCTAGTAGAAGTAGGGAAGGCACTGGAGCCCGATATTTAGGTTTAAGGAGAAATGACGGGTAAGGAGGCTTTGCACCAGATGAGTGACTATTATGCTGGCCAACTGCCAGGTTGTAACTGATTATGCTGCCTTGTGGTAGTTGAGGAGGTTGAGGGAAATATATGTAGTTGAATAATTTTGTATTATGTATAATTTTGTCTTTGTATTGTAAAAGATTTAAGGGATTAGGATTAAAAAAAGTCTAATAACTAGGACAAATTGTCCTAGTTCTCAGATATTTTAAATTGGGGGAGAAAGGGGGATGTGATGTAGTTCAGCTGGGCTTGTGAGGTCTCTGGGGAGACCCAATTTAACCAATTTTATGGTCCCCACCCTTTCCTTGGCAAACGTCTGTAGCCACGCCCACGTCTGAGGTCTTTTGTTCTTGACGGCTTCAGACCTAGGCGTCAGGTCGTACACGTGGTTGTGGAGGGTGCTTGGACCACCATAAAAGCCCAAGGAAGAGCATGATCAGGGGATTCGAGCGGAGCTGCTGATGGGGTGCAGAGCTCCTGAGCAGAGACTTCGAGCGGAGCTGCTGCTGGGGTGCAGGGCTCCTGAGCAGAGACTTCGAGCGGAGCTGCTGCTGGGGTGCAGGGCTCGGGAGAAGGCTGCTGAAGTCTCTGGAGGAGGGCTGTTGGAGGCATTGGGCAGAGTACTGGCTTGGCGCAGTACTCGTGCTGTGTAGGTCTTGGGACCTGTGGTTTAGTTCCTGTAGTGAACTACAGTGTACTATATTGTAAGTTACATTCATTTTGGCCAAGCTAATTGTATTCCTGTCTCACTGCTTTTGTGTACCACCCATTTATCTAAACCACAATAATGTTCTGTTCCCAAATATATTATTGTACAAAGACTTAATAATAAACTGTGTTTGAGTAGAATAGTAATATTCACTGTCCCCGTCATTTATTCTTTTTTCTTATATTTTATTATGTTTATATATGAGTGAAGGGTGGGCGAGGCATATGTTAGTGAGTAGTGTAGAGTTAATGAGAGTGTCGTGGTGGTCACCACTGACCTGTCATTACCTACCTACCTCCGCTAATCATCTCACTCCTACCACCTCGCCTGCCTCTCCCCTGCCTACATAATCCCTTACTCCCATATCCCCCACTTATATCCGATTCAATCATTACCCCCCTACATGACACTGTCAGCCGCAGCTCATCCTGTCAGCCGCAGCTCGTCCTGTCAGCCGCAGCTCGTCCTGTCAGCCGCAGCTCATCCTGTCAGCCGCAGCTCGTCCTGTCAGCCGCAGCTCATCCTGTCAGCCGCAGCTCGTCCTGTCAGCCCAGCTCATCCTGTCAGCCGCAGCTCGTCCTGTCAGCCGCAGCTCATCCTGTCAGCCGCAGCTCGTCCTGTCAGCCGCAGCTCATCCTGTCAGCCGCAGCTCGTCCTGTCAGCCGCAGCTCGTCCTGTCAGCCGCAGCTCATCCTGTCAGCCGCAGCTCGTCCTGTCAGCCGCAGCTCATCCTGTCAGCCGCAGCTCGTCCTGTCAGCCGCAGCTCATCCTGTCAGCCGCAGCTCATCCTGTCAGCCACAGCTCGTCCTGTCAGCCGCAGCTCATCCTGTCAGCCGCAGCTCATCCTGTCAGCCGCAGCTCGTCCTGTCAGCCGCAGCTCGTCCTGTCAGCCGCAGCTAGTCCTGTCAGCCGCAGCTCATCCTGTCAGCCGCAGCTCATCTGTCAGCCGCAGCTCATCCTGTCAGCCGCAGCTCGTCCTGTCAGCCGCAGCTCGTCCTGTCAGCCGCAGCTCATCCTGTCAGCCGCAGCTCATCCTGTCAGCCGCAGCTCATCCTGTCAGCGCAGCTCAAAATAAGGAATTACAGTCACAAGGTCTTTTCTTTATCAGACACCACTGGGACAGTTACACCACTGGGCAGTTACACCACTGGACAGTTACACCACTGGACAGTTACACCACTGGACAGTTACACCAATGGACAGTTACACCACTGGACAGTTACACCACTGGACAGTTACACCAATGGACAGTTACACCACTGGACAGTTACACCAAATGGACAGTTACACCACTGGACAGTTACACCACTGGACAGTTACAACCACTGGACAGTTACACCACTGGACAGTTACACCACTGGAAAGAACTATTAGTCATCTATTACCATTACTTCATATATAGCTAATGTACACACTACAGTATGGAATACAACCTAAAACAATCTCTTAACAACATCCTAATTAGGTTACAATCTCCACTATAAAATCAGTTCATTCATCAAGTCAGTGCAAAATGTGGAGTACTAGTGGGTATTATATAGCCATATTTTTTATAGGGGATGGACCGGTAAACCAGCGGAAGGCCACGGTCATATGACCAGCTGTGGGTCATCATATAACTAAAACCCACGTCAGGAAACACGTGTCTTGTTTCCTGACAAACCTTACCTATCCTAACCTAAGTAAAATGTGGATACAACCTCAGGATTTCAGATCTTAACAATGAGGTGTTTTGTCATATCCTGTGAGGTTTGCATGGAGGTGTCTCTGTAAGGTTGGATGTTTGGATATATAATGCTGGAGTGTATGGACCTGTCTGTCCACACACTGTGTTCTAAGTCACTGAAAAAACAAATGTTCTGCCAGAGATACTCATAGTCTAGCCTTAGTCTAGCAATTAACAACGTCTTACATTTTTTATCCTTAGATAAGTCTAACTTGATACATGTCATTATGATGGATAATGGATTTGCCAGTTCCTATCTATACTGTTCTAATTTCTTCAGACTATCTTGCTAGCTCCTTTCTGACAATGTTTCGTAAACGTCTGTTTCAAAAAAAAAATTTTAAAACTTAACATTCTCTTTATTTAATACTTGTTTAGCTAATTCATTAACGTTGTAACACTCCTAAAGGCCTAATTATGAGAGGGAATTCACAAAAGCTTGACCATAATACCTTATTAATTTGTATATACCTGTGCCTAGCTTCAGACACAAGTAAGCTATATTCAGATCTCAGGCTATCTACATTAAGTAATGAAGAAAGAGAGTCATTCACAATTAAAACTGTCTGACGTCGTAGTTTACCCAAGCTTCAGATATACAAATTACGTATGACAAACAGTTTAGTTTGTAAGGTGGGAAGCCCAGATACAAATCTGTATCACAGCACCATTAGGTTGATTTCCCCCGTGAATAATAACCCTTCTTAAATCTCCCAGCTCATCATCATATCTTGGGATATACTACTATGTAGTGACCCACTTTATTTTTTTAGTGGGTTGTAAAATCTAGGTCCGATATGCCAGCGGATGCTAAACCTGTGATGGGTCCTTTAACTGATTAAGACCCGTGTCAATTGACACTCTTGTTTCCTGAAGACTAAACACCACCACCACCACTGAGAGATTTTATTACATTGTGTGTGAAACTCATCCGTGTGATGGAGTGTGGCAGAACACCCCTTCAGTGTGATGGAGTGTGGCAGAACACCTCCAGTGTGATGGAGTGTGGCAGAACACCCCTCCAGTGTGATGGAGTGTGATAGAACACCCCTCCAGTGTGATGGAGTGTAGCAGAACACCCTTCCAGTGTGATGTAGTGTGGCAGAACACCCTCCAGTGTGATGGAGTGTGGCAGAACACCCCTCCATTGTGATGGAGTGTGGCAGAACACCCTTCCAGTGTGATGGAGTGTGGCAGGAAACACCCCTTCAGTGTGATGTATTGTGGCAGAACACCCCCCAGTGTGATGGAGTGTGGCAGAACACCCCTACAGTGTGATGTAGTGTGGCAGAACACCCCTCCAGTGTGATGTAGTGTGGCAGAACACCCCTCCAGTGTGATGGTTGTGTTTGGTAAACATACCCACTTCTGACTCCAGCCTCGTAAAATACCTTGTAGATAGGGTGACCACATATTGTGGTGTATCTAATTACAAAATATAAAAAAAACTAATTCTCAGACGTGTTAAGTGATAGCAAGAAGGTATAAATAATCCCTTAATCACCCTCTCTTAGCTGCTTAAGGTAAACAGGGAAGAAATTTAAAACAGCAGTCTAAAAAAAATATATATTAAACCTGAATATAAAGATTACTTGCTACACGCACAACAATTTTCCCTCCAACAGATAACACTTTTCTCCCCAAGTCTTGACATAAAAACTAAACATTAATTTAATATAATCGTCCTTTTGCGTATTCAAAAATCGTCCCCCCATGACTATCCTGGTCATCAGGCGTGGCTGATGTCTCAAACTCCCATGGTTAAATCTTGTAAATTATCCCAAGATGGCATAAAAAGTCTCCAAGTAATTCTAGTGGTCATTATCACGTCTCACGGCTGTCCTGACGACTTATTCACTGGTTTTATCTTCTTTTTTTAAATCATTAGTATAAAATTACAAGTACGTAGTGGGTTCCCTGACGATGAGGCTGATAACAGAAAATTAGTAAGTTTTGCAATATGGATGAACACATTATATTTTACGGGTGTAAAGCGCAGGGGGGAAAAAAATCTACTGAATTAAAAAGATCAGATACAGCACACAAAATACAGTCTTCGTGGCACAACTGGTTATCGCGTTCGGCTCTCAACCGAAAGGTTGATAGTTCGATCCCACCCTGGGGCAAATATTTTTATTTTTTCCTATGAACACCTTTAACAACCGGTTCAGCATGTTAATAAATAATTTATGTATTTATGTATGGTCAGTAAACATATTTAGTGAGAGAGACGGGGAATGAGGGGTCAGGGTAGAAGGAATAACAATAATAATATAATAATAATAATAATAATAATAATAATAATAATAATAAAAATAATAATAATAATAATAATAAATTTAAAAATAATAATATTTTTTATTTCTACAAGTACTGTACAAGGTATACAGTCCTTCCTGACATCAATGATATTCTACTATGTACAAAGCAGCTCGGAGTGTGTGTAGAGAGGTGGGGGAAGTGGAGCGTGGGAAGGGGAGGAGAGAAGGAAGGGGAGACGGTGGGGAGGAGAGGAGGGAAGGAAGGGAAGAGGGTGGGGAGGGGAGGAGAGAGGGAAGGGAAGAGGGCGTGGAGGGGAGGAGAAAAGGAAGGCGAGGGGAGTCAGGGAAAACAAGGAAATTTATACCCTGGCATGTCAGCCATAAATTTCAAGCACTTGTACAACACGTCATCTGTACTCTTACAACCACGTCTTGTACTCTGCTAAAAACCACGTATCTGTACTCTGCAAAACCCACGTCATCTGTACTTGCTAAACCACGTCATCTGTACTTGTACACCATGTCATCTGTACTCTGTTTAAAACCCACGTCATCTGTACTCTGCTACAACCCGTCATCTGTCTCTGTACAACCAGTCTCTGTACTCTGCTAAAACTGTCATCTGTACTCGCTAAAAACCAGTCTCTGTACTTGCTACAACCATGCATTGTACTCTGCTAAAACCCAGTCATCTGTATCTGCTACAACCACGTCATCTGTACTCTTACAACCCTTTTTTTTTTTGTTTTTTGTTTTCCCAGTCATTTACCTGCTAAAACCATGTCATCTGTATTGCTAAAACCCGTCATCGGACTCTGCTAAACCACGTCATCTGTACTTGCTACAACCAGCATCTGTACTCGCTAAACCCGTCTCTTACTTGCAAAACCCCGTCATCTGTACTCTGCTACAACCACGTCTCTTTTTCTCGCTACACCACGTCATCTGTCTCTGCAAAAAACCACCATCTTTTACTCTGCTACAACCATGTATCTGTACTCTGCTACAACCATGTCATCTGTATTGTCAACCACGTCATCTGCACTCTGCTAAAACCCCACGTCATTGTACTCTGCCACAACCACGTGTCTGTACTCTGCTACAACCACGTCTTGTACTCTGCTAAACCACGTCATCTGCATCTGCTAAAACCAGTCTTCCCACTCCGCTACAACCAGTATCGTACTCTGCTACAACCAGTCATCTGTCTCTGTACAACCACGTCATCTGCACTCTGCTAAAAACACGTATCTGTACTCTGCTAAAACCACATCATCTGTACTTGCTACAACCACGTCATTGTACTTGCTACAACCACGTCATCTGTTCTGCTAAAACCCACGTCATCGTGTATCTGCTACACCATCAATCTGTAATCTGCTCAACCACGTCATCTGTATCTGCAAAATTCATCTCTGTACCTCTCAACCACATCTTTGTACTCATGATACAACTATGTCATCTGTACTTTAACCAGTACAATTTACTTGCTACAAAGTCATCGACTCGCTACACCAGATCTGCACTCTTTAACACGTCAATTGTAATCTGCTAAAACACGTCATCTGTACTCTGCTAAACATTTATATCTAAACTCAGTCTGTACTGCTACCAGTCTTCCTGGACACATGTATCACTATCTCAATCTCGATCGTACTGGATATGTCAACTCGTCATTGTACTGGTAAACACGTCATCTGAGACTTGCTACAAAGTATCAGTACTCTGTACAACCACGTCATTGCACTGAAACAGTCATTGCACTTGGCTAACAACCGGGGTCTGCTACAACCACTTCTTGTACCTGCTACACATACATCATCTGTACTCTGATACAACTATGTCATCTGTACTCCGCTACAACCAATGTCATCTGTACTCTGCTACAACCACGTCATTGTACTCTGCTACAACCAACGTCATCTGTACTCTGCTACAACCACGTCATTCTGTACTCTGCTACAACCATGTCATCTGTACTCTGCTACAACCACGTCATCTGTACTCTGCTACAACCACGTCATCTGTACTCTGCTACAACCATGTCATCTGTACTCTGCTACAACCATGTCATCTTTTACTCTGCTACAACCACGTCATCTGTACTCTGCTACAACCATGTCATCTGTACTCTGCTACAACACGTCATCTGTACTCTGCTACAACCACGTCATCTGTACTCTGCTACAACCACGTCATCTGTACTATGCTACAACCACGTCATTGTACTCTGCTACAACCATGTCATCTGTACTCTGCTACAACCATGTCATCTGTACTTGCTACAACCAGGGTCATCTGTACTCTGCTACAACCACGTCATCTGTACTCTGCTACAACCACGTCATCTGTACTCTGCTACAACCACGTCATCTGTACTCTGCTAC